CCCCGGCCCCGCCACCCCAGGAAGCGTAAATCCCGCCTGGTGATGGCACACAGAGATAGGGAGACCCCAGGGATCTGTCTGAAGTCCATAAAGGAAAACCACTATTTCCTAGAGGAAAGCCCCCTCGCTATCAAAGGCTGGAGGAGGCATTCTTCAGCGGCGAACCGATGCCTGATTCAAAACAGCTGTACCAAAACCACCCAACTCTCCCAGGCACGGTCAGGCCAGCAACCCAGCTCTGCAAAGGGGACAGGCCCCTGGATCTGCCTTATCATTGCTGAAAGGCAGCAATAAGTTTGGGTGCAAGGGTCACCTCTTGCCTTTAGATGCTCATAGAAAGTACAAAGCCGTTGGGCCACCACAGGAGAACTGAGAGCAGAGTTTGAGCAAGCCAGCTAGAGAGTCCTGCACATGTGACACACCATCTCCCAAACTGTTTGTGCCTGCGTCGGCGTCATGGCACCTTTGGCTGGAAACAAACATTTTGGCAGGTATTGTGACAACCTCACCTGTGACACTCTTCTTGTGGTTGAGACCTCATCTTTGATGGCCCAAAAATCTCCTCCCTTTTAATTTGGCTCGGACCGTCATATTGTCCTTGTCTGGAGGGCTACATTGACTTCTTAAATGACAAGTTCCTTTCATGATTATATACATGGCTCTCAAATGCAGCTGACTCACTCTGTTTTACCCTCTGGAGACCTCAGCAACGGCTTTGTCCTGAAATGGACAGCTTTGTGACTGATTTCAATAAGTCAAGAGCTCTTGTGTTCCTAAGCATTAAAGAGGATTTAAACTTTTTTATATACATATAGGATTATGTGAACCTCTAGTTCAGTGTCAGATCTTTTTATTTTTGAAAGAGTTCAATCTCAATCAGACATCTAGGGACAAGCTTGTCTCAAACAATTCCCACATCATCGTTGTTTTATATTGTTACAAATAATAGTCTTGTTTGATTCACATGATTGCGCTATGATTTTGGTGTGAGCTAGTGACAGCTGTGAAATCATACTCTGCAGGTAAGCATTCAAACATACCTCAAAAAATTACACATGATGAGGAGCAACAACTTATCTCGCAATTGTTTCTGTTTCTAGGTATTCTTGAAATAACTGCTGTTGATGTTGGAATCGTTGCCATCAAGGGCTTGTTCTCTGGCAGATACCTGGCCATGAACAAAAGGGGCAGACTTTATGCATCAGTAAGTTTTGCCTAAAACTGGAATACGCCTGTCATTTCCTATGGGGAGAACAGGTCCAGCGGGGAGCACTGATTTCTTATAAATAAACATTTATAGAGAAAAGGGTAATGGTGTAACAGATTTCTGTCTGGAATTGTTACAGGCAATCAATCAGTATATTTTTAAAAGTGGAAAGAAGCTGTGTTCTTACTGCCTGTAGGCAGAAGAATGTATTTGGCAAAGGTATTTCACACGGCCAAAGTTCTGGGCAATTGGGTGCACTGATAAAGACCTCAGGGGCCAGCATTTGCCGTGCAGAATATCCATCTCTATTCAAAATTATCCATATTTGATGTGGATCTTGGACGCTGGCAGAGGATATACATATCAGACAAAGAATATCCAGAAGGAGTTGAGCATCTCTGTTACAGGAAAGCAGACTACCGATGGGAGTTTCTTTGCACAGAGCGTTTGGTTGGGCAGTGAAAGAATTTTCAGGTACTGAAAGGCAGGGCTATACAAGGAAAGGAAGTACAAGAAGGAGCAAGAACATAAAGATGAAAACAAACAGCTTTTTCTATTCCTTTGACCTCATTTTTTGTTCTGGTCTTTGAGGTAAAATCTGGGCTGTGCTGATATTAGTGGAAGTCTTGCCTTTTCAGCCCAGCCAACAGTTCCCCTCGGCAAATAAAATACTTCAGCTTAGACTTCTTCACCTTCAGGGACACTGTAAGGAGTATTTGTCAGCATGTACACAATGAGCTTTATCTACCTACTTGAATTTCTTCTGTTGTCTTCAGTTTCATCCCTAGCAATCTTGTGATCTCTTACTGTGCCACAGCCATACTGTGCAATTTCTCCAGGAATCCTGTGGTATGGAAACAGATTTGAAGAGGGTAAAGTATGGCTATGTGAAATGTCCTTCCTCCAACAAGTCGTTGTATGTAATTCTGTTGATTTGAACAGCATGACATATCCTCAGGCAAAGCAAGCTTTTTCCATGTGAATGCAGCCTAGGTAACACAATCAACTCAGTTGCCTCCTTGGTTTGATGTATTTTATTCCACCTTTTCAAGAATGTTCTGATTGTGTTTACAACCCAGCTTCTGTAATGTGCCTCTCGTGATGCACACTGACCAAAGGCCCTGTGCATAAAGATGATGGTTCTTTACTGGTGCACAGAAGCAGATCTTGAACCGTTTTGTCAAAGGAAAATTCGTCTGAAGCAGAATGAGAACATACTAGCTCTGCTGTGCCAGAGCTAAGGCTGGCCACTTCTATGCTTCCAGTTAATATTCTGATTAAAATGGGCGTTTTTTCAGTGGAGCTCCTCCACCAGCTCAGCGCCAGCCTCTGCCCCGAAGAAATGCATGGGAAGGATGAATTTTCAAGTTCTTTCTCATCTTTCTCTCTTTCTTGTTCAAAATAGGTATTTTGAATCCAGATTAATTAAATGGAATTAAAATCAGGGTAAATTCTGAGCATAAAGATCCTCTCCTATTGTAGAGCAAAGCTTAGAGTAGGATAGATCGGAGAGTCCTTTTCTCCTGGACTTCCCTTTCCAGTCTGAGGAGCATCAGGCCATCCTGAAGTTAGTTCAGCTGTCACATGCCAAGGAATATCAGCCGTGAAAGGTTTCTGTAAAACTAGACGATAATTTTTGCTGTTCCAGATCAAGTTTGAGAGAGACTGTTCCAGGCTAGTGTTTCAGAGCTGGAGGGACAACCCTGGAAAAGCTATTCCACTCCAGCTTCTTTCACAGAAGCAGCAAGGGATGAGGGCTCAGCTCAGGAGAAACTTCCTGGCTTTGCTTGCCTAGAAAAAAAGAACCAATGACTTTACTGATATTACTGTTCCAGGAACGTGTGCAAGGCCCCTATTTCAAATAAGAGTGACTTTTTTTCAGGATAATTACACAGGGAGCATTTTGTGAAGTAGAATTGGAATAACGCTGTTATCCCTTGGTTCACCAATTTTCCCATGTCAATAAAACGAGTTTCTTGAGTCTGCAGAATTCCTTTCTGTCCTCAGCTGATTGTGATAATCCTCCAGCTTTTTCCTCTGTAATAAACCCTCTACAACCAGAACTGAGGCAGACAGCAGGACAAACCTACCTACATATGGCAGTTGTGTGGGCTCCAGCACCACAGCATATGAAAACCTTGTCCTTGCAAGGAAGGGCACTTCCGTTTTACAGCTGTGAAGCGGAGACATGTGGAGTCTTTTAAAATCTTGTTAAATGCCTATCAGCATTTCTGGTGAGTGAACAGCATTAAAGACATGTTGTTAATGGAGCCTACAGCTTTTCTGGCCCCAGCCTGGCTACCTGTGCCCTTGGCATGTCCTCCAGAGAGGCCACGTGAAATAAAAAACCTCGGTAAAGACCATGGTAGCAGTTCCCCTCTGTCTCTGTGCCTTTCACGTGTTAGATACCGAAGTCTTCATCACACAGGTACAGCAAAGGTGATTTTGTACTTGAGAAAAGATGTACAGTGTGGGAGGCCCTTCATTTGCACTGTTTCTACTGCTCCCAGGGAGAAGGAAGGAGTTCCTTGCGCCAGGCTTTCACACAGTATTCTCTCAGTTGAGGACCAGATGAAAAGGGGCAAATTTCGACAGATCATGTAAAATGTGAACACCCACGATGGGTGCATATTCGCCCTTACAGTTTGTGATAAAGGAGCAGTCCAGCATTTTGGAGAACGTGCTGGTGGGCAGGGTGTACTTTTATTTTGTTGTGCTGAAGTAAACAAAGAAGCTTCATAAAGATGTGGTTTACTGCTCAAATATCCACAACAAACTGGATATATAATAGCCTCCGGGTGTATCTAACTACTAATACACCTATTAAAGAGCCACGTTTGACATTAAACTGTAGGATTTAACCTTTTCAATAGATGTCAAAGGTTGATAAGCAGCCATTAAATCATCCATCCAGTTCACAGGCATATTTACATCCATAAGCACAAAAAAATTAAATTACAGCTGAACAATCAGCAGAGCTATTCATTCCTGTTCATGCGATGTTTTTTGTTCTCAGATCCTTTTTTTTGTCCTCTTTCTGTCTCTGATCCACAGACCATGCTCATGCTGTTGACAGGCAGAACCTTGTTGCACAGCAGTTCAGGCTCAGCACTTCTCTTCTGCTCACCTTTTGTAGCACCAGCCTGAGTTTTCCTTAGCACATATGTTGCTGTCCTTATCCTAAAACTGAGTAGAGTCTTGCTTAAGACTTTAGTCACATCTCATTGAGGTAGAAGAGAGCTATTACCCATATAGTCTTTCTTAAACTTTGTCGTGTTTGCTTTGCAGGAAAACTATAACACAGAGTGTGAGTTTGTGGAGAGGATCCATGAATTGGGTTATAACACCTACGCGTCCCGTCTCTACCGGACTGTACCGAACAGAGCCGGCACCAAGCGCAAAGCCAGTGCAGAGAGACTCTGGTATGTCTCAATCAATGGGAAGGGACGACCCAGAAGGGGCTTTAAAACTCGCAGGACACAGAAATCATCTCTCTTTCTGCCCAGAGTATTGGATAACAAAGACCATGAAATGGTCCGACTGTTCCACACAAACGTGAAATACCGAGAGAGTCTCCTGAAGCCCCCAAGCAAGAACCAGCGAAGAAGGAGAGGACACTGACATGGGTGGGGGGAGCTTCTATGGTGGCTGGAAGTGACTGAAAGTCTTCAAAATACTACTAAAAAAACTAACAGCTGTGATTGTATGACGGGCATTAACATGGACATTTTTTATACGCTATAACTGAAAGTCACATCACTTACTTTTAGCTATTGTAGAATTATTGTCTGTGATAAAAGAGTTGTGAGATAAACTAAGGCACATTCAAATGTAAATTAGCTGGATGTAATAATTTTGTCAATGACTTTCACATTTTCTTTTCTAAAAAAAAAATAATTTTTATTACTAGTATTTTCATTCTAACTTGCCGTAGGGTATTATCTCAGTGACCCTGTCTTCTCAGAGCGTGTGAATATTTTACATTTATCAATTTTGTGTCCACAGAGAAGGTATAGCACTTTCATGGCTCTTTGGCAGTTCTTCATAAAAGGCTACATTCCTATTTTTATGGAATACAGGAGTTAGAAAACTGGTTTATTTTTTAACCTACATATATTTATTTTTATTTTATGATCAGTCAGTATCAATTATACTTTTTGCAAGACTGTCCAAGACAAGTACAACTGTAAGCTACTTCAAACATTTCGACAGACCTACACATTACTAGATTATTCTTGAATTTGTTTAACTAAAAACCCAAGACACCTGACCTTGTAATTAAAATAAATGAATGTTGGTAAAATGGCATTTGCATCAGCCAAGCTTTAACACTATGCATCTGTTTACCAGCTGATGAATCTTCTCAAAATAGGACCCAAATACGACGTGAAAGCTGAGTTTGTGGTATGGACTGAACTTGCAATATAGGAAAATTCAGCTTTGGGGATGAGAATCTTTATCAGGTACTTCTGTTTAGCTGTTTTCTATGGGAAGTCCTAGTTCTAGTTCAAATATGTTTTAACTGTTTGGGACAAAAATAACAGTCACAATGGGCATACAAAAACTGTAGTGACTCGCTAATTTAAGGTGGCTGCTGTGTTCTGATTTTCCTTTCTTTTCAAACGCTTGTTATTTTCACCAGGTAGTCCTCACCTGAAAGCTGCAAATCCAGACGGGGCTTAATGACCTTGAGTTTTCGTTCAGTCCATATAAAAATATGTTTCTCTCCTTTTTTTCTACTCTGATTCTGGAAGTTAACTTTTGTGAAGTTGAGGGGAGTCCACATCACAAGCTTCATTTTGAGCAAGGGGTTAAGATTTAAAAATTTCTCTTGACGTCCGGGAGATGATAGAGTAGTACAAGGATTTAGATGTGCTGGACAAGCACAAACAACGGTCATTTCAAAGAAATTTGGCCATGTGCTCTTCACTTCCGAGAAACAGCTGGAGAAAAGAGAGACTGCACTGAAATAAACATTCAATCTGAATTTAACAAAAGAGCTGTAAATTAAATATGATATTATAGAGAAACAGACAGGTGCAGATCTCATTCCTGGTTATTTTGACACAAAGGTCTTGTGGGCTACCTACTGAATAAGAGTATGATCACTTAAAACTAGGTAGTGAAAATCTTTCATCACTAAGGGGTGAATTGTCTGAGAGACAGAAGTGAAATGAGTCCATAGAATGAGTTTACCAAGCTTAGTCGTTACAGGTTTAGCACTGCTTGTACCCCTATAAAGGGAAAACCAGAAAGGTGTCTTTATACAAAAAAGGTATGCTCCAATACTTCCATCTTCGTACCTTTTCTGTAACATTCTAACAAACTATGTTTGAATCAGAAAGTAAAAATTCTTTGATCTCTGCTTTCCTTTATACTGAAATAATGTAAAAAGACACGTAAATTATGTACATTAAATAACGCAATGTAGTGCACACAGAATAGTTTTAAAAGAGGGTACAGAAAACCATGAACCATGCTCCCCAATTTTATTGCTTTTACAAAATAACTGAAAATACTGACGGGATCTTCACAGAAGTAATCGGGCAGTATCATGTCAGGAGCCGCTGAAAAAGCTGTGCAAAGAAGAAACACATAGACTGAAAAAGAAACAGAAGAATTGGGATTTTCTGCTTTGTTTACTCTCCCGTGAACCACACAAGGACCAAATTACTGCAGAATTCAAAGTGTCTTTTGAAAGCTGGTTGTACCCGTGAAGAAAATTAAGTTTCGCATCCTGGGCATCAGGGGTATCTTGGGTGGTTTTGGCTACATCAGCTACTCTATCTCAGCTCTGTATTGCTCTTCAGGCTACTGGTGGGGGCTGAACAATTAACTGAGCAGGAAAGAGAGGGGTGTAGGGAGTCCTCACGGCTCTCGAGCTTCAAGAACCAAACACAAGGGAAAGAAAGTGTCATGAGCCCAGGTGGTAGGGACAGATCACCTACAGCTGAAGATTAAGGGAGCTGTTTTTCCCCATGTCTAGTTTCTGGGCAGCGTTTATTTTGACCACTTTCAGATCTATTTCACCTCAACTTGTAAGAAAAAAAAATCCATTCTCGGCTTTCCCTCTCCTAAAGGTTGTTGTTGTAAAGCTAATGATCAATGACCACATCAGGTATTTTTGATACGATCCTGATTGTCTAAAGAAAGTGGAAAAACTCCTGGTTCCCATGACACAAAGTTGACATTTTCACGCCGGCTGCGTATCAAACATTTAGTCTTCACTCTTAGCTTTTCTCAAGGGCAAGTGCTTGTGCTTTTCTGTCTCTGTTTTTTCCACAGTTTCCTCTCATTCTTTTCTCCTTCTACCTCTCTTTTATGGTCAAACCACCTGACATAATGCAACATCAGGTAATTGCTGTAGGTGATATAGGGATATCATTAATTTCAAAACACTGCTTGCTTCTGTCTTTGCTTTGAGCTGTACCGCATGCTTGTTGTAGGAGTATTGTTTTAACCACCTTCCCATAGGAAATTGCAATGAAGTTTAGCTTAACATGTGAACTATATCCTTATTTCAGTTTCAGTTTCCAGCCAACAAAGTCTAAAATACTAACACTGGGAAAAAAGGAGGGGAGAAACAAATGAAAAAATAATTAACTGATTGGACACAATGGCATTTTAACTACTGTACATGAGTGATGATTTTCACATCAACCTAAAACAATTTTACTGACATTCTTAGCATTTTTCTTTGCTCGGTCTCATTGTAGCAATTCAAAGGAGATGGCTTTGGGATTTGTCTTTTTTTTTTATCTTTTAAGAAATATTAATGTTCTTGTTGAAATACTTTTCATTACAGACATTCATTACTTAATACTCTTTTAGCAACCTTGAATTCCACAGTTCCCAGATACTGACAGGCTGAAATCCTGCTCATGGTAGCTGTCCCAGTTGTATCTTCTATCTCATTTTATTTACTTGGACCAGAACCTTACAGGACACCTTACAACAGGCAGTAGATTTGAGCTACTGTTACTTTCTCCTTAGGACTATAAAGTCAAGATGTGTCTTCTCCTTCAAAATTTTCTTGAGTGACTTTACACCTTTCCATCATACAGGCTATTACCAGCCTTTTTTTCTTTTCTTTGAGGAAGGTGGAAATTTTACCCATTTTGGATTGCAAAGTTTCTGCAAACTTCACGTACTCCAGAAGTTCACCGGCATGCTTAAATTCATCACAAAACAGAGATCATAGAAAGGGTCACTCAGGGAAGCCAGACCTGGTAAAAAGCTGGTCTGCTGCAGCCTTTTCGTGATATACCAGGTCAGTCTTCAATTGTTTTGTGGTTCACAGCCCATTTCAGGGCCACCATCAGCATTCTGTGGTTACATCTGCATTAGCATGCAGTGCAGACCCACAGCAACAGATCTGCAGAGCAAAACCTTCGGTGTGAAGTACCCAGTGTCCGCACTACACACATTTTGAGAGTGAGTGGGAGGATTGCTTTGGATGACTTCCAGTCTGGCCCTGTGGACTGGAAGCCCTTGGATAAGTGGAGAGCTCTGAGCGTTACCAAGAAGAAATTCGCTTCAAGTGCTCAGCAAACGTTGACATAACTCCAGCTAACAGGAGACTGTGCTCAAAAGCAGGCTTCTGATTTGAACCAAACGCCAGTGTAGATGCACCCTGTGTGAGACGCACTCATTCATACCCTGTAGCAGTTTCCTTTTGGGGCAGAAACCAGATCTCGATCCCATGACTTCAACCCTCTCCATCCTGGGTGGCAAGTCAGTTAGCAGAGCACAAAACTATTGCTGTTCTCATCCTGGAGCCAGGAGACAGTGGTCACCACATACTAATTGCCTGGGCAACCTGCTCTAGGTGGCCCTCCTTGAGGAGAGGGGTTGGACCAGATGCCCTCCAGAGATCCCGTCCAACCTCAACCTTTCTGTGTTTCAGTGATTCAATTATTAGTTGTACTTAATTCAAACTGATTATTAGTTTGCCCTCACCTTTGGGTATTTAGATTCATGCTGTGCATTTCAGAGTCCAATTCCCTATCCCAACCCCTCTGATTTCTTTCCATTCACAAATTAATCTGAAGCCAAGCATGCTGTTCAGCTTTGGATCAGTTATTCCCTAGCCCATTTTAACAGTCTGGTGTACTAACTATCTGTTCTTTTCCTTAAAATCAATTATTGCACATTCAGTTCAGTTGCCAGATACAAACAAAAGTTAAGCGGCTGGTGTATGTACTTCCAAAAGCTGCCTTTTCAGCTTGCTGTCCTGCACCAGCTCTTTCCTCAACTCCACAAGATACATTCTCTTCATGTCCTTCACCTCCTCCCCATCATAAAAGTCTTTCTGTTGGTGCCATTTCTAGCACAGTATAGGACTGCTTTCTTACAGTTTTGCCCTTTTTAAAAATAAATATTGTTCTGTAGAAACTGTACAAATTATACAAATATTGTGTCACTTTCCCAGTCACTCATACATTACTTGAACTGGACTTGAATGTTATTTTCTTTCATGGGCGTGAGGCAGAGAACAGTGCATCAAGTGGTTTTGGTAAACAGCTTTCATTCTCTTGCTTCCAGACAGAAGACACGCAGTCTGATCCATGACTTGGTGATTTATATCTGAAGGAGATTTTTCTAGTTCCTTTAATACTTGC